CAGCACGTCTGTCCAGGAGAAAGCCCCCTCTATAGCCCTTGCTCCAGTGCCAAACAGCTCAGTTCTTCCCTGTATGTCTCTGGTGCCCCTCGAGCTGCCTCCCCTCCAAGCTTAGAGGGAGTGAGTTCGATAAGTTCGTGCGCAGGCTCTTTAAGAGGAGCTGCCTGGGGCTCCAGCCGTCTCAGCCTCCCTGAGCCTCAGTTCCCGCTAGTTTTACAGCGAGAGGTTATGGGGATTCTCTTCCTGGCACTGGAACCCTGAGCGGGGCACCTGGTATGGGACAGGGACCCCTCAGTCCTCAGGGAGGGCTTTCCTGGCCAAGGTATCCTGATTTTTATCAGCCACACGTGGGTGTGGGACCAGCCCCTCCGCCTCCGCCCCTCCTACCAGTCTCGGTGTGGCTGCTTCTTTAATTCCGTAGTTGTAGGACTTCCATTCAGCTTGATTTCAGGTGGTTCTGACCAGTAATTTTTTTAAAAGCAAGTTAAGATATACCCTCCAGTTTGCTGAGTTGGCTTCTAGCAGGTAGCACTCCCCCTGCCTGTGTGCTCTGAAGGCTAATAATCACAGCCCTGGGATGGCTCCACGGCTCTCACTGATCTGAGAGCTATCTTGCTGCTCTACAGAACCTGGCAGGTCTTACCGCCTGTCTCTCATGGCCATTTCTCTGTTCACCTGTCCTCCTGCTCTGGAGCTCACACACGGGCTGTCAGCTCCTTGAAGTCCCTTCACGCCACAGGGCTCTGGATGCTGCTGCTTCTGCCTGGGATCCTGCCTTCCACCCCACCCCACTGCCATGGGAGCTCCTCCTCATCCTCTACCTGGCACCTTGGATGTTCCTACTCCCGGATCCCTTCCTGACCTGCCCAGCTAGGTTAAGCTTCCTGTGTGCGTTCTAATGAAATCCTGCATTCTTTTCACGTGTCATTCTTGCAGTGAGCTCCCCATTAGCCTCTGGTCTCACCAGCTGTGTTTGGGCTCCTTGCCTAGGGAGGGAAGGTGATTGGGCACCTTCCTTCCCTGGTGGCTTCCTGTGTTTTTGACTTCCAAATACGTGCGTCTGGGCGAGGCCTCCTTGTGAAGCACAGCCAGGATGGTGTTTCTGTGCCTAGGACCCGTGCTGCTGGGGTGGCTCCAACTTGGGCTAGAGTGTCACTGACAGCCAGGTTGGATTCCTGACCTGCCTGCCAAGTGGGGGCGTGCATGTCAGGGGCAAGTTATAGTGGCCCTAAGAGGAGAAGGCCGAGTGTGTGCACTCACTGCCCCTCATCACCTTCTCCAGTCACATGTGGTACAGGCTGCTGTGTGCATCTGGGCCCTCAGCTTCCCCAGGTAGCTGCCTGTGTGTCTCCTTCCCAAAGGAAGGACTGGACACACTCATTTTGGGGAAGCTGCTGATGCCACCCTGCAGCTGTGGTGTTGGGTAGTTCGGAGCAGCTCTGGAGTCTGCTTCTCATGGGGTTTGGAGGCCCCTGCCTCCAGTTCCTGCAAGAAGGGCATGCATGACTCCTGAGGGTCCACTTGGAGGGAGATGACGTGGGCCTGTTCTCTCCCCAGGTGGAGCTGTGGCCGTCCCATCCTGGGGGAAATTCTGGCTGGCTGTTCTGAACGTTTACAGCTGGGAAGGCCTCAACACTCTGATCCCCGAGATGTGGTACGCTTGCCTCTGGGGACATGGCAGCCCAGTCCCTGCTGCCCTACTGGGTGGAATGACAGGGCCCTGGGTCCCTTGCTGCAGACCGATGGAAGGAGGGAGGGAGGTGCCCTGGGTTGGGCCATGTGGCAGGTGGGTCACCCTGCAGGACTGTTACAGAGCCCCTGGGGTGGAAGGGCGAAGCTCTGGCTTTGCTGCCTAAATGAGCATGATTGCATCTTGTTATTACGGACATTGTGAGCATCTGCAGAAATGGAGAAGGTAAAAGCCCAGCACTCCTCACCAGCCCCCCTATTGGGGTGTGCTGTGCTGTTTTATCTGCTCCCTTGTCTTTTTTGATGGTACAAGTTTTTTTTTTTTGAAAATAATATTTTCAATCCTCACCTGAGGATATGTTTATTGATTTTAGATAGAGAGGAAGGGAGAGAGAGAGAAACATTGATATGAGAGAAACATTGATTGGTTACCTCCCCTATGCACCAGACTGGGGATCAAACCCACAACCTAGGTATGTACTCTGACAGGGAATCGAACTCGCAACCTTTCAGTGTATAGGGCGATGGTAAATATTAAAATTAATCTCAGACATCAGATTTTACCCCTGAACACTTCAGTGTGCATCTTTAGAAGACAAGAATTTTCTTTTGAACACAACCACAATACTATGTACATACTCAGTAAAATCACACTAGTTCCTTATTGTCTGATACAACCAGTGTCTTATAACATTTTGTGAATATCTAGTGTAAGCTGTGATTTATCCCCAGCAAACATTCATATGCATGTATGTACCCCACTATGCCTTATAGGAGGTGAGATCACGGAACCCTGCTGGCCCCCTGGAGCACTGTCAGCAGGGTTAGGTCCCCCAGGAAGCATCAGGAAGGTTGTGGGGCCCTTGTGTTAGGTGACTTTGGTGGAGGAAGAATGCCTGGTGAAGGGGCCACTGGGGAGATGACTGCAGGGTCCTGATGAAAGGACCACAGCTACGAGGCTAGGGTGATGGTGGCAGAGGGACAGCAAGGTAAAGTGGCGGAGGGATTCTGTTACCCAAGGCTGGCCACTCTGGAAGAGGCAGGGAGGCGTCAGGGGGCCATTACAACATTCCTCACTGGGGAGCTTGCCAGCTGGGCTGTGAACCTCACTGGTGTGGAAGGAGTAAGTGAAGAAAGGCACCGAGCAGGCTCCAGGGGGGTGTGGGTGTCAGGCTGCTGTTGGGGAACTGTGTTGTCTGTGTCCCCCATGAGATGGGGCCCTGGCAGTCATTGCCACTCTTTGCTAGAGTTTTGAGAGGGGTGTGGGTTAGAGAGTAAAGGGCAGGTATGCAGGATGGAGGACCTGAACCCAACATGTAAAAAAAAACCAATATCCTTTAAATTGAGTGGAGAAACTTGCAAGAAAGTGAGGGAACTGGCCTCAGGCTGGGAGACATCTGCTCGACCTTCATGACTGGGAGCTGGGTGGATACACTCAGCTCTGCGCCTCCCTTGTGCCCTGCACATGAGGACGGGGACTTGAAGGGGAGGGTGTAGAAAATAATCCAGGTGCTCACCCACCTGGGAAGGTGGCCTGGCTGTGCTGATGTCAGAAGACACATGGGTGGAGGTCACAATCAAAAGCTCAGGCCTAACCATTTTATTTTATCCTCACCTGAGGACATTTTTTGATATTTTGTTCAGATAGAGTGGGAGGGAGGGAGAGAGAGAGAGATAGAGAAACATCGATGTGAAAGGGACACATTGAGTGGTTGCCACCCACACGACCCAACCAGGACCGGGGACAAACTGTAACCGAGGTTCATGCCCTTAGCGGGAGCCAAACCTGGGTCTCTCCGGACCGCAGGCTGACGACGCTCTAACCGCTGAGCTAAACTGGCCAGGGCTTATTTTATTTTTAAAAAAAAATTTTTTCTTTATTGATTTTAGAGAGATAGGAAAGGAGAGAGAGAGAGAGAGAGAAACATCAATGAGAGAAAACATTGATTGGCCGCCTCCTGCATGCCCCCCACTGGGGATCGGGCCCACAACCTGGGCATGTGCCCTGACGAGGAATTGAACCAGTGACCTTTTGGGTTGATATGGGTTGACACTCAACTGCCGGGCAGGCCTAACTGTTTTAAATACACTTATTATTTTGGAATAGTTGTTTCAATTTCCAGAAAAGTTGCAAAGATAGTCCAGAGCCGTCCCACAGACCCCTCACCTGTTTCTCACTATTAACATTCCATGTTACTGTGGTTTGTCACAGACAGCCCTGAAGTCTCCTGGGTTTGGGATGCATTTGGCTGAACCAGGAGTGGCCTGTGCCCTGGGACACCTAGGGGGTTTGATTGCTCCCCATGGGACCATGGCTGTGCAAGTGCTAGCCTTGGCGGCTTGGGTTGGACATTTTGCACCCTGAGTCCATGCTTGGGAGGCCTGGGACTGTGGTGGTGCTGATGGTGGGGCCAGGGCTCCCGCTAATCACTGTTTCCCCAGGCTGCTTCCGGACTGGGTGCCTGCACACCCCTCCACACTCTGGTGCCACTGCCGTCAGGTCTACCTGCCCATGAGCTACTGCTATGCCATCCAACTGAAGGCCAAGGAGGACCCACTGGTTCAGAGCCTGCGCCAGGTGAGGACCTGAATCTGGGCCATTCTGAAGTCCGGCTGGCTATGCATGCCTGCTCCCATGGGCCTGCAGAGCTGAGCCCCCTGAGATTAGGGTGAGGCCTCCCTCTCCTGTCCCCTCAGTGACTGCCCAGAGGGGCTCCTGGGGAGGGATGGGGCACAGGCACCTATCCCTGGGAAGCAGGCCCTCAGGTGGGGTTGGGGTGTGGGGTGTTCATCAGGGTGTGCACTGGGGGAGCAGAGGGAGGAGACAGCTATAGGCAGCCTGGTGCTGAGGTGCTGTCACCCCCAGGAGCTCTATGTGGAGGACTACGCCAGCATCAGCTGGCCAGCACAGAGGGACAATGTGGCCCCCGATGAAGTGTACACGCCGCACAGCTGGCTGCTCCACTTGGTGCACGGTGGGTGCTTCCCTGGGGCTGGCTGGGCCTCTCTGGGGTCAGCTGACATCTGAGGTGACGATGAGTTTGTTCTCTCCTATTGTATGGGTCATGTGGTGACGAGCGGGCTATGTGTGCCTCGTGTCCAGCAGACCTGCCCTTGCCCTTGCCCTTGGAGCAGTCCTGGGTCTTGGGCTCCTAGATGAGAGAACTTGGAGCTGAGGGACCTGGAGGGTACAGTCATTCCTTCCCTGGGGGAGAGAAGGGCAGTTCCCACCAGGCCCAGTCCAGGTTCACTGCCCTGTGGGACCCCTCCCCATCCCCAGAGGCCGGCACAGGGTGCTGAGTGGGGAAGCAGTCGTGTTCCTCTGTGCCGGGCCCTGGGTAGTAGCTGGGTCCCTGTCCCATCAGTGCTGAGAAACAGCTGGATTTCCAGTTATGGAGCCCTCCTAACACGACACGGCAGCATGCCAGAGTGTGGGGGCAGGCAAGGTATGGGGTATAAGGGTCATGGGGGAACAGTAGGAAAGGAAGGCAGAGTAGGGCAGACTGGAGGGGCTCTGGGGGCTCTGTGCCTGGCTGGGCTAGGGCCTGGAGCTCCTCTGTGCCCTTTGCTTGCTGATGTCCTTGCCTCTGCAGCAATCTTCAACCTGTACGAATGCTACCATAGCACCAGCCTGCGGCAGCGGGCCATCCAGAAGCTGTATGAGCACATTGTGGCCGATGACTGCTTCACCAAGTGCTTAAGCATTGGCCCGGTCAGTCCTCCCTGTCCGCTGGGTGTTGGCCTTGGGTGGGCACCTGACTGCAGCCCTAGGGTGGGCCAGGAATCAGGGCGGAAGGCTCAGAGACCAGTCTCTGTGGAATTGGGAGTAGGAGTCTCCCTGCACGTGATCCTGTGCTCCCACAGGACCACATTCTGCCATCACCTTTGTGCCTGGTCCTCCTCCCACCCCCACCATCTGGTGTGTCTGAACGCTGCTCTTTGAGGCTACTTCTCAGGATCTTTCTGGCCAGCCCCACCCCTGATAACCTCTATCTGCCTTTCTCTTATGGGCTTTAGAGCACCAGAGGTGCTTGGGTTCCATTGCTGGATGCCCCCGAGCCCTGTGACGTGGGTCTTGACTTTCACTGCTCTGAGCCTCTGGGCTCCTCACCTGGCTTTGCCTCATGGGGCCAGGTGTGGACACACCTGTGGGGACTGTGTGGCAAGATGCACAGCAGCCAGTATAGGTGGGGAAGGCTGGCTCATGGCCATGGGCAATGGGTGCAGGAAGCAGAGTGGTTTTGAACCCTTGGGTGGGCCATGACCAGGTTCTTGGGGTACACCCAATTGGTACAGTGTTACCCAGCCCCACTCCCAGCCCTGCTCCCCAGGCATTTTCTGGGCCTCATGGGACCCCAGTGGATTGAAAATGATGACACGCAGCAGAGCAGTCCGTTGTGTTTCTTTTAGCAGCAGTGTGACTCTCAGGCTTTGACTTAATGCTGCATAAAGCATGTCTGACTTAAGTTAGATGTAGGCTTCAGTTGGGTCTTGACTTATGAGATCCCAGAGTTGAAGGTCTGGGCCTCTAGAGCATGGCACCCTGAACACCTGCCCCTGTGCACAAGTCTGGTCTCTGCATTTCCCCTGTGCCCCTCAGATCCCACGAGCTTGCTCTGGCACCCACGTGGTGGTTCTGCTTGCTCCCCTGCTGGCTGGGCTCACAACTCTTACAGGTCTCCCTCCCTCCTCTGTGCACACCCTCGGCCCCTTCCCACTTCCTTGGGAGACCTGGTTTCTTGGGCACCAGGGTGGCTCTCTCTCTCTCAGGGCCTGGAAGCAGCGTGTGCTTGGGAATGTGGGTTAGAGGAGAAGGGCCAGCCTGGCCTGGGGTGCTGTGCTGGGCCCTCAGTGGGATTGGGCTACATCCTCTATCCAGGTTAGAGCAGAGTCCTGACAGGCCTGTCCCCTACAGATCTCGAAAACCCTCAACATGCTTGTGCGCTGGCACGTGGATGGGCCAGCCTCCAGTGTCTTCCAGGAGCATGTCTCCAGGATCCCTGACTTCCTCTGGTGAGTGCAGCGGGGAGGGCTGGCTTGGCTGGTGTCATGGTTAGTCTCTGACCTGGCTGAGAGCACGGTGTAGTGTTCATGGGCCCTGCTGCTACAGCAGCAGGTGTGTGCCTGTGTCTCTCTTTGTGTCCTGGTGAGGGTGCAGTGGATCTAGCATAACGCTAGAACCAGTTGTTTCAGGGTCGATGGAAGCTGGGGAGGGTTGTCTTTGAATGGAAAGGTCCACCCCCTAGCACAGACTCTGGGTGCTTTCAGAAGGCAAAACCGGGAAGCCTGTGAGTGGACAGGGCAGCTTCAGGTGAATGTTAGGAAGGCTTTGGTGACGAGAGCTGGTCAGTTATGGATTGTGCCATGGAGGGGGTCTTCTGCTGCCCTTTAACATGGCTGGGGGGAAGGGGAGCTGTCCTTGAGTCTCTTGCACAGTGTGGGCTCTGGGCACCACCTGACTTCCAGCTCTTTGCCCTCTGCTCCCTGACCTGGCTTTTCTCCTCACAGGCTGGGCCTTGACGGCATGAAGATGCAGGTGAGGGCTGCAGGGCCGGCTGCCCGCTTCCTTTGCAACCGTTCCTGCCTGTGGGTTTGTTGAGATTCAAAAATCACTCCTCACAAGGTCTGGCAGTGTGGTGAGCGGCTGCAGGCCCTCCGTCCTGTCTCTGAGGGACATGGGGCACCACCTGGGCTGGTCAGCCTGCAGGGGAGTCTAGAGCCCTAGGGTTGTGGGAGTGTTAAGGGTCAGAGCCCCCCAGGGTTGTGGGAACACTGAGGGTCAGAGCCCCCCAGGGTTGTGGGAACACTGAGGGTCAGAGCCCCCCAGGGTTGTGGGAACACTGAGGGTCAGAGCCCCCCAGGGTTATGGGAACACTGAGGGTCAGAGCCCCCCAGGGTTGTGGGAACACTGAGGGTCAGAGCCCCCCAGGGTTGTGGGAACACTGAGGGTCAGAGCCCCAAAGGGTTATGGGATCACAGAGGGTCTGCAGCCGTCATTTGGGAGCTGTGGGCCAGAGCAGTTCAGAACTGCAGGTCAGGAGGAGACAGTGACTCAGAGCCCACACACTGGCCTGACTAATGAAATTTAGGCTTCAGGTAGGAGGAGAGCCCTGCCCTCCATACCCCCAGCCTAGCACCTGCTGAGCTGCTCCCGCCTTGTCCTCCAGCCCTGAGATACATTCCCATGGCCCTTCTCTGCATGTGTCCCACTGGTTTGTGCTGTGTGCACCACCCCCAGCCCGCTCATATTTTCTGTTTGTGTGACCCTGGGGTGGGATGTCACATTGCTGGGTTTCCTGGGGTGACCTCCTCTGTCTGCAGCGGCTCTGGAATCAGCGAGCCTGGGAGCTGTTGGGCCACGCTGAGGAGTTCTGTCTGCTATACCTGCCTGGCTCAGTGTGGGAGTGCAGAGGTTCCAGCATGGTCCTTGGGGTGCACAGGGCACTGGGTTTTGGGACAGGGCATGGGGCCAGCACCCCCAGCACAGAGCTCACCTTGGTACCTTCTCCAGGCATGCCCCTCTCCCAGCTCCTGCCAATCTCTTATAAAAGGATTTTCAAAACATGCCAAGTCGGAGAGGGTGGCAAGCCTCTGTGTGGGCCCTTTCAGTGCCCTGTGCTCTGGGGCTTCTTTGTCTTTAGGAAGCCTCTGTGCTGCCGCCACCACGAGTGATGCCCTCGTATGGTCTGTGCTGTGCTTGTTGGCATCAGTGTTAGAGCCCAGGGGCTGATCCTTGTAGTTGCTTTCCGCTAGCCATATCCCAAGTGCCTTCTTCCTGGTTCTGACCGATTTCTTCCTCTGGGCCCTGTATCTCCAGCAAACGAGTGGTTAGACCCTGAGGGTTGATCTCATCCAGGTTTCTTTTGGCCAGGCGGCTTTCCTGGTGGTGTGTGTTCTTCCCACACACATCCCACTGGACCTTGATACTTGCTGCCCCGTTGGTGCTGCCCGTTGGTCTTGGCTAAGGTGTTTCTACTCCCATCCTGTTATCTGCCTGTCCGTCAGTCCTGCTCTGTCTCACTGGGGTTTGGTCATCGGTGTTCTGGTGGGACCAGAGTGCTGACCAGTGAACCAGGCTCCCAGGGTGGGATTTGAAGGGGGCCTTCTCAGCCCCTCTGAGGCCTTGGCCAGCCCTTACCACCTTAGAAGTGGGGGGTGTTTCTAGTTATTACTGTGAACAGAGCCAGAGGCTGTCATTGGGTGGGTAGAGGCCACAGGCAGTGGAGGCCACAGGAGGTGGCTGTCCAAATCCTGAAGTACCCTGCCACGGTCCGGTTCTGGCTGGTTGGCCCAGTGAAGGCAGGTAGGGCTACCTGCAGTACCAGCCCCTCCAGCCATCATGGGCTTTGAAGTGTGCACAGAACCCAGAGCCAGAGGTCAGGAAATGCTGGGCTTCTGCCTCTTTGTGGGAGCTGGTGGCAGCCTCCAGACTCTGTCGGATTCTGAGAGGAGTGGGCAAATGGGAGGACAGTCATTGGCTCCTGTAATGGTTCATTCTCTGTGTGCAGGGCACCAACGGCTCGCAGATCTGGGATACCTCATTCGCCATCCAGGCTATGCTGGAGGTACGCGGTGTGTCTCCTTGTTCCTCAGCCTCCAGCTGATCTTCCTGTGCACCTACCCCTGTGCCCAGCGCGGGCACAACACCTGCTGGCCCTGACTGCACTCTCCTGGGCTCCGAGGCCTCTGGCAATGGTCCAGCTTAGGCTGGGTCTTGTCTGGCAGCTCTGGCCAGTGGGCTGGCTTGGAGGCTTCTGGATCAGGGAGGCTGGAGAGGCTGTCCCAGAGACACAGCAGTGGGGACTGCTCTAGGCTCTGCTCAGACTCAAGCTGTTCCTCTTGGACACTTTGAAAAGAGCCTTTGAGCACATAGAGAGAAGCAGGAGTGTGTTTTTATTCTGGTGGAATAGTTTGTGGAATCCTGGGGAGCCCTGAGGAGGGGTCTGGGCTCTGTGGGGCCTGCGCTGCATGGGGCTTGCGCTGGACGGGTCAGGACCCTGAGTGTGGGTGAGTGGGCGTGGTGTGGACATGCCTCCCTGCCCGCCCTCCGTCACGTCTTTCTGACTTGTTGGCAGACCCAAGACCCCAGGTGAGTGTGGTCCTTGTTCCCAGGGTTGGCAAGAGTCAACAGGATTGTCCGGAGACCAGCCCGCCCGCGCTGGTTCCTGCAGCCAGTGGCTCAGCCTCTTCTCTTTTCCAGGCAGGTGCACACGACAGGCCTGAGTTTTCGTCCTGCCTGCAGAAGGCGCATGAGTTCCTGCGGATCTCACAGGTGAACCCTGGGGGCTGTGAGAGGCCTCCCATGGGCAGAGGTTTCCCCTTCCGCCCTGCCTTCTCCAGCTCAAGGGGCGCCTGATTGTGTCTCCCAGCAGTGGGTGGGGCTGTGGTCAGTGGGTCATGGGGGTGATACCTTGAAGGCTCCCTCAGGCACCGATGGCCAAGAGGCCACAGCACAGGGCCCCGCATGTCCTGCTGTGCTGGCCCTGCCCTGGTGTCTGGTGTGACGGTGACACGTTTTCTCCAATGCTTTCCACATGTGCCCTTCGGACAATGCCCAGGTCCCAGACAACCCACCCGACTACCAGAAGTACTATCGCCAGATGAGCAAGGTACCGCAGTCATGCCTACTACCCCAAACCCTGGGAGAGGCTGCCTGTTAGCTGGGCCTGGCCTTCAAGGAGGGCTTCTCCCTCAATTTCCTGTGGGTTCCTGCTCTATGAATGCACATGTGGGCTCCAGTGACGCTCCTACAATTCCCTGACTGAGGCGCGAACAGCCGAGGCTGCTCTTGTGTAAGCCTCTTCACATGCCAGGTGGACGTCCGTGTCCCAAGACGCTTCCATACAGACACATGTCCAGACATGAAATAAGCTGTCACGTTGTGAATTAGAGTGATGGGGAGGACAGGGAGCACCAAGGGCATTCAGTGTGAGTGAGAGTGTAGACGCAGTTGTGACTGCATCCGCACAGGGTTCAGGAGGGTGCTGTGGCTGTTTCTTGTGTCCGTCCTGTGGTGGGGTGAGGGTGATAATGGGGAGAGGCTCCAGTCTCGTGGGGTTCTCGTGCTGGAAGCTGGAGGCCTGTGCACATGTTCAGCTTGGGGTGTGTCTCCGCAGGTGTGGAGGCTGCAGTGGCTTTGGGTGACCCCAAAGATGGGTGTGGGCTCAGCCTCCCACCCCCACAGTCACAGTCTCTGTGCTTTCCAGGGTGGCTTCCCCTTCAGTACTGTGGATTGTAGCTGGATCGTCGCCGACTGCACAGCTGAGGGCTTGAAGTCTGTCCTTCTCGTGCAGGAGAAGTGTCCTTTTGTCACCACACACATCCCGAGAGAGCGGCTCTTTGATGCTGTTGCTGTGGTGAGGCTGCTGCGCCTGGGGCTCTGTTCCCCAGGTGCCGAGGGTGCAATCACACAGGGGTCCCTTGGTTGTGGTTCGAGTTTTAGAGGAGTTCTCATGTACCTTTCCCACGGGGACGGTTTCAGCCAACACTCAGGCCTAGGACCACAAGCCAGAGGGGCCTGTCCTCTAGTGGCACCTGTGCCAGGCCAGTGGGAGGTCCTGGCTGGGTGTGTGCAGAGCCCTGTGCTTCCCCAATGGGCGTATGAGCCAGTGACCTGGGCTCAGCAACCGAGGGCAGGATGGGGCCAGTCTGGGGTAGCTGCCGCGGCCCCATTTTCTCTCCAGTTCTGGAGGCTCACAGACCACTCCCAGGCGCCTCCTTTGGGAGGTCTGGTCGTCTCCACTGGGCGCCTGATGAAAGAGGACAGCCTTTCAGCATACCCATTTCAGTGCCTGCCTTACAGCGGAGGGCACATGGTTCAGCAGCACACACATGACTTATAAACGCACGTGCCTGTCAGGGTGTGTTCCCAGATGGTTACTTACAGCATAGCTGATCCATAAAGGTTGCACTCCTCTTTCAGGGCACCCAAGGGTCTCGGTCTGATGTGAAAACTAGCTCCCTGCTACTCACCACTGTCGGTGCTTAGCCCTGGTGCTTCCAGAAAGCCCACCCAGCCTTGGGCACCCACACATGCTCAGCTCTCAGGATATGCGGTTTCTGGTTTCAGTTGCTGAACATGAGAAACCCTGATGGGGGGTTTTCCTCCTACGAGACTAAACGTGGGGGGTACCTGCTGGAACTGCTCAACCCCTCAGAGGTCTTTGGTGAGTGACCGGCCTGCCGGCATGTGGGCACAACCTGGGTCCCGCCACTCCCAAGGCAGATGAGCTGACCAGAGCCCTGAGGTTTTTCCCTAACCAGGGGCAGTGCCCACAACAGCTCTGGTGGATGATGGTGGCTCCTTTAAGGAGCCCCCCAAACACCAGGTATCCCATGCTCCTTGGCCTCCATGGGTGGCACCCCCTGCTATAAACAGAAAGCTGCAGTTCTGTCTCGGCGGTCACATCTGGCTCTGGCCTGAGCTGGGCCGACTCCTGCTCTGTCCTCCATGGAGACCGTCCTGTCTCCCGAGCGCTTCTTGCAGGGAAGTGTTGGTGGGACCCTCTCCCTGAGTCCTTGTGCTGTCTGTATTCGTTCTGGTCTGTGAGGGCTGGTTCTTTACCCTGGTCTGCCTTTGTGGTCCCCGAAGCCCTCCTATAGCTGTCAAACACGATCCAATGGAAGGTTTTCAGGGTGGGGTGCAACTCTGCTGTGTGCCCCCTACTTTACCCTCCCACTGGCCTTGTTGTCCCACAGCAGATGGGCCACCAGGTCCCTTGTGTAGGTGCCACCTGCCACCTGGTGGCTGGGTTGCCTGGGCTGGTCACGGGATGCTTCCTCATTTCCCCCAAGGATGGTCAGGCCCTTGATGCGCCCTGCAGGCCCTGCGCGTTACGGTGCTGTGTTCTTCACGATTGGCCTGAATTGCTGAGGTAAAGCTCACAGGCCTTGGCCCTTCACTTTCTTAGGGGACATCATGATCGACTACTTGTACGTGGAGTGCACCTCGGCCGTGATGCAGGCGCTGAAGCACTTTCACAAGCAGTTCCCTGAGCACAGGCCAGGGGAAATCAGGTAAGGGTGGCCTAGCCGCCGTGGGTGCCACCAGCTGGGTCAAGAGCTCAGACACTGCCAACATGATACTGAGAGCTGTTGTCCTCTAACTAGGGCCCATGGCATAGGAGGCCCTGGAGTGAAGCTCATTTAGGTATGGGAGGGGTTTACAGCGTTTCTGAACCGAGTTGTATTCCTTGAAGTGCATCAGATTGTGTACTGGGGCTCCAAGGAGCACAGTTACAACACAGAAGTGAATTATTTTTCAAGTTATCTTTTTTTTTCTTTATTGATTTTAGAGAGAGAGGAAGAGAGAGAGAGAAACATCGATGAGAGAGAACATCAATTGGCCACCTCCTGCATGCCCCCCAGTGGGGATCAGGCCCGCAACCTGGGCATGTGCCCTGACCAGGAATTGAACTGGCAACCTCCTGGTGCATGGGTCAACGCTTAACCACTGAGCCACACCAGCTGGGCTCAAGTTATCTTCTTAATAATGTTAAAGACCGGTACCCCCCACCTCCACCTGTGTCCAAATGTATCTTTTAACATTTCCCGATGAAGTTTGACATATGTGCAGAGCAGCACACAGACCCTCTGTTTGGTGCCTGAGGAACATTGTGAAGTGGATGGAACATGTGACCACAGCGGGCACACACATTAATTACTAGAAGTTCCCTTCCCTCCTGGTTTTGTGGCTGCTACCCTTCTGCACCAGAGGACCCAAGGTGGGAACTCAGAGGCCTGGCTTCTCTCACTTGGCCTCGTGCTGACAACACTGGGTGGCAGAGCGGTGGTTCACACTGTCCTCGGCCATCAGCATGTCTGCTGAGCACAGGTCCACGTGTTTGTCGTGGGTCCTTGGGGGTGTTCGTGGTTATTACGGATCATCCTGCTTTGAACACATGGGCTTATCTCTCGGGCACAGAGGATGTTCAGGAGTGACATGCTGTGTCATAGGGTACATGCTACAGGTTTCAGAGGTTTCTTCCTGGGACAGTTCCCTTGTCATGTGTTTCATGGGGGACCTGGTGGAAGCTCAACTTGGTCCTACGTGTTTTCCTTTTTATATGTTGTTGTATTAAGTTTGAGAGGTGTTTTGTTTAGGATGTTTATCAGAGAAACTGGTCTGTAATTTTTCTTATTCTAATGTCTCTGTCAGGGTCTCCTGTGAAGGGATGCTGGGCTCATGAGTTGGACAGTATGTTTTCTTTTTATGCTCTCAGAAAGAGTTTGAGATCTGTGCTATTTTGTCCTAATGTATTTGGAGACTCCATCTAGGCCTGGGGTTTTCTTTGAGGAAAGTAGTCATAGTGGCATCTTTGTTGCGTTTCCTGATTTTTTTATAGGGGAATGCTTCTTATATTTCTCCATTAAGAATGATATTTGCAGTAGGGTTTTGATAGTTAACCCCATTTCTGGGTAACAAAAATTTTTTTTTTCTAATTTGCTAAGTTGTTTCTTTCTGTTGTGAGCATACTGTGTTTAGTAAATGACTTTTCTTTTTTTTGTTTTTTTGTTTTTAATCCTCACCCGAGGACATTTTTCCATTTTTTGTTCAGGTAGAGTGGGAGGGAGAGAGAGGAACAGAGAGAGAGAGAGAAACATCGATGTGAAAGGAACACATCGAGTGGCTGCCACCCGCACGACCGACCAGGGCCGGGGACAAACTGCAACCGAGGCACGCGCCCTTAGCGGGAACCGAACCCGGGTCTCTCAGGACCGCAGGCCGACGCTCTAACCGCTGAGCCAAACTGGCCAGGGCAGTAAATGACTTTTCAATGTCTATGAGATGATTATGTATTTATCTCCTTCATCTCTTAGTGTTGTGGATGATTATTTTAGATTTTTCTAATGTTAAAACACCTTTGCATTTCTGGAATGAACCTGATTAGTATATCTCTACCATGTTCAGTTTCCCGATATTTTGTTTAGAATCTTGCACCCGCATTCGTTGGTGCCGAACTGCGTCATAGCCAAAGGGCACACCCCTCACCTTCCCCGTCTGGCTTTGAAAGGCTTATGCTGGTCCCTACAATGGATTAGGGAGTGTTCCTTCCTCTTTCTAGTCCCTGGAAGAGTTTTTGTGAGATTTGAATGCTTGTTCATGATAGTTTAGTAAAATTCACTTACAAAACTTCTAGGCCTGGAGGCAGGGGTCATGGGTACCTCAGACTGTACTTGTACTTCCTCTCTGGCCTTTACAGAGAATTGGGTTTTCTTCAGAAGTACCAGATAGACTTGCAATAGAGCTTCTCTGTCCTCTGAATCTTTTGTTTCTCTCTGATTTTTTATTTATTTTCAAACTTTTATCTTGTGTGATTTACCCAAGCTTGTGTCACTGACATTGTTTTCAGGGATATTGATCCTGTTACAGCTGCTGCTAATGTTATTTCTTACCTCAGTGTTTGCTTTCCTCTTACATTTCAACTCCTTTCTATGTCCTATAGTTGCTTCTGCTTTGACCTTGTATCTGCTCTTTGAACTGTTGGTTTATTTTTAAACACACACACACACACACACACACACACACACACTATTTTTAAAATTGATTTTAGAGAGAGAGGAAGGAAGAGGGAGAGAGAGGTAGAAACATCAATGAGAGAGAAACATCAACATCTATCTGCTGCGTCCTGCACGCCCCTGCTGGGGATCAAGCCCACAACTGGGGCATGTTCCCTGACCAGGAATCAAACTAGCGACGTCTTGGTGCATGGGGTGATGCTAAACCACTGAGCAACACTGGCTGGGCTGCATATTTTTTAAAGAGAGACCATGCTCATGTTTTTGAGACCATAGAATGGGTAGAACTAAGTAAATTGCTGTTTTGCTGGAATGTTCACTGGGCTGTCCTCTGATGTTGCAGGGAGACTCTGGAGCGGGGCCTGGAATTCTGTCGGCAGAAGCAGAGGGCTGACGGCTCCTGGGAAGGGTGAGTGAGATGGGCGGGACCCAGACACAGCTCACTCACAGTGCACATGTGTTGTGCCAGAGGACTCTGCAGGCAGCTGCTAGCGACGGATGACTGGTGGACCTTGACCCTGTGAATGCCTGGCTCTCACCCCAGCAGTGTTTGGCGAGTGTGTTGGGCATGCTTGGTGGCCTGTGCCTTGTTGGTTGGGTCTGATTATTCACGTCTTCCCACTGGGTTTGGATCAGTTCTTTTTTTTTTTTATCCTCACCCGAGGACATTTTTCCATTTTTTGTACAGATAGAGTGGGAGGGAGAGAGAGGAAGGGAGAGAGAGAGAAACATCGACGTGAAGGGACACATCGAGTGGCTGCCACCCGCACGACCAACCAGGGCCGGGGACAAACTGCAACCGAGGTATGTGCCCTTAGTGGGAACCGAACCCGGGTCTCTCCGGACCGCAGGCCGACGCTCTAACCGCTGAGCCAAACTGGCCAGGGCTGGATCAGTTCTTATCTTGCTTGTGTTTCCATTGGACTTAGGTGTCCCCTGTGGACCTTGGGCAGGTCTGTCTCACTGGCCTTAAAGCTCTGCAGTTGGTGTGGCTTGTGAAGGCCATGTGGATGTTTTTCTTGAAAATAACCGCAGCTTGCCCACGCTGGAGGGTGTTCCCATCCTCTCATACCTGCTGTGAAGAGGCCTGGGCAGCTGAGGCTCCGTTTCCCCTTGTCTCCCTCCAGCTCCTGGGGGGTTTGCTTTACCTATGCCACCTGGTTTGGGCTGGAAGCTTTCGCCTGCATGGGGAAGATTTACCAGGATGGGTGAGTGTGGGCATCCCCCTGGGGGAATAGGGTTTTCTCAGTGTGATATTTTGCTGGGGATCATCTTTCTTTGATGTTTGATTTTGGAAGTGTTTTTACATTTTTTAAACAGTAACAGTTGGAGAGGCTAGAGTTCAGTATACTCACTGGGTTGGGTTGAGGGAAGGGTGGAGGCCTCAGTCTGAGCTGTGTCCAGTGGCCTCATTCAGTTCTGCTTGGCTGGGTGGGTGTTCATGGGTGGTCATGGCAATTAGGCTGCCTGCAGCTACAAAGCTTTTTACTTTATTCATGGTGGGGTGGCCTCAAGTGCTGTGCCCCTCCCCATGGCCCTGAGGAGGCCTGGCCAGGGTGAGAACCCAGGGGTCTTGGACTTCCACTCTGTGATGGCATCTGTGTCTGGTGTCTCTGTAGGGCTGCCTGTGCGGAGGTCTCCCAGGCCTGTGACTTCCTGCTGTCCCGGCAGATGGAGGATGGAGGCTGGGGGGAGGATTTCGAGTCCTGCAAGCAGCGGCGTTATGTGCAGAATGCCCAGTCCCAGATCCACAACACGTGCTGGGCCCTGATGGGGTTGATGGCTGTCAGGTGGGGACAGGCGAAGGCAGGACACTGAGCCTGGTGAATTGGGTGGGATGTGGGCAACTAAGCTCTGCATGCAGAGATGGGAGGAAGTGTGGTTGCAGGGTTCCTGGGGCAGAATGGTAGGTCTGTCTGAATCAGTGGGTTCCTGCAAAGAGCCTCAATACCCACAGTGACAAGGGACACAAGAGGCCCCAGGGAAACAGTGTGAGGTGGAGCATTTACAGCTGTGCTCCGTGGTCTTGTCTGTTTCCACAGAAGTGCTCAGCTATGGGTATGCATGTGCACATCTATGCACACACAAACATGCACATTTATGCATACATGGACATGTGCAGTATCCCAGTCTGTGCTGCCCTGTTGGTTTGGGGTCATTTGGGGAATCTTCCTAAAACCCTCTACAAACTAGGCCAGGCTAGTTTGGACAGCAGGGGTCTAGTCTGTGGGGACCTCGGGGATGGGATCAGGAACTTGCAGGGATGAGCGATGATTAGCATATGTGGCTTCTGTGGCTCTTAGAGGACCCTGAGCATCAGAGGGCAGGGTGGACATCAGGCTTGGCCTCCTCCTCATCTAGGGGGTGCAGAAGAGCAGCACCTTGTGGCAGGGGCCAGAGCGGTAGGTCTGGAGCAGTCAGGGCCCTTCCTCAGCCACGTCTGTGGGGATGCCCACCTAACCTGCGTGCCCCCGCACTGTCTGCATCCTCTGCTTCTCAGATCGTAGCTATGCAGTGATGGCCTGAGGTGTGCTGATTGTCCCTAGTGGTGCCAATACCTTGTGTATGTTGGATTAAGGTTTTCACATCTTTGTCCTTTGCTGGGCTGTGGGGGGTGAGGGCTAGATTTTGGCTGCAGCCAGTGTGGTCTCATCCACTGAGTGGTGATGGTGTGTTCACTGCCTCTTCTTCCCACAGGTATCCTGGTGTAGAGGTCCTAGAGAGAGGAGTCAGCTGTCTGCTGAGAAAACAGTTCCCCAATGGTGATTGGCCCCAGGTATGCTGTCAGGGCTCAGTACTGACTCCGGTTTCACATCCCCTCCTGGCCCTGTGTCCCTCGTGCAGTGCTCATAGGTGGGGTTTAGCTTTGGGGATTTGAGATTCAGAAACGCCACCCACAAATGGCCTGTGTTGAAAGCAGATCTGAGCACTAGCTTGGGCAGGGCTGGTGGTGCCAAAAGGTGCTGGGAGGCGCTGGACTGAGGAAGCCCTGGGGCTCTGCCTGATGGGCCCCTCACTGTTGATCCTTGCAGGCATGGGGTCATGAGGTCACATGAGGCAAACCACCCTCCCCTGGATGAGACTGGGGTTGACACACCTGTGTGGGCCTGGTAACCAGATAGAAGGGTGCTGCAGGGGGAGGGGTCCGGGAGCTGGGATGTGTGGGAGAACTGTGGCTGAGGCTCTGCCCTGTGAACTCACCACTAGCTGCCCAGTCCTCCACCTGGGGTCTCGGTTTGGAGAACCCCTTAGCTACCTGGTGGAGCCTTTGAGTTTAAGTCCCTGTGTTCTTTTTTTTTTTTCTGGTATTTTTGTTTTTTATTTAAAAAGATTTTTAAATCTTTGTTGTTTAAAGTATTACAGATGTTCCTCATTTTTCCCCCATGGACCCCCTCCTCCCCACTCCCGCCCCTCCTGCCTTTCCCCACACTGTTGTCTGTGTCCATTGGTTATACATATAAGTTCTTTGGTTTATTTCTTCCCACCCCCCAACCCCTTTCCCTTAGAGGTTTGTCAGTCTAGCAATGAATTTGTACTTCTTAATCCCTTCACCTTTTTCACCCATTCCCCCAATCCCCCTCCTATCTGGCAACCAACAAAATGTTCTCTGTATCTATGAGAATGTTTCTGTTCTACCTGTTCATTTTGTTTGTAGATTTCATTGTTGATAGATATGTATTCATTGCCATTTTGTTTATTCATATATTTTATCTTTTTCTTCAAAAGACCCTTCAACATTTCATATAATAATGGTTTGGTGGTGATGAACTCCTTTAACTTTTTCTTGTCTGGGAAAGTTTTTATATGACCATCGATTCTAAGTGACAGCTTTGCAGGATAGAGTAATCTTGGTTGTAGGTTCTTGCTCTTCATCACTCTGAATATTTCTTGCCACTCCTTTCTGGCCTGCAAAGTTTCTTTTGAGAAATCAGCTGACAGTCTTATGGGAACTCCCTTGTAGGTAACTAACTGCTTTTCTCTTGCTGCTTTTAAGATTCTCTCTTTGTCTTGAACCTTTTGCATTTTGATGATGATGTGTCCTGGTGTGGGCCTCTTGGGGTTCATCTTGTTTGGGACTCTCTGTGCTTCCTGGACTTGTATGTCTGTTTCCTTCACGAAGTTAGGGAAGTTTTCTGCCATTATTGTTTCAAACAGGTTTTCAATTTCTTGTTCTCTCTCTTCTCCTTCTGGCACCCCCAAGATGCGAATGTTGGCACGCTTGAAGTTGTCCCAGAGGCTCCTTACACTATCCTCATTTTTTTTGGATTCTTTTTTTCATTTTGCTGTTCTGATTGGGTGTTTTTTGCTTCCTTGTATTCCAAATCAATGGTTTGCTTCTTGGATTTCCGTACTCTACTATTGAATCTGTGTAAATTATTCTTTATTTTAGTTAGTGTCTCCTTCATTTCTGACTGTGCATCCATCATTTCTGACCGGTCCTTTTTTATGCTCTTGAGGCCCTCACTAAGTTCACTGAGGTTCTCACTAAGTCCATTGAGCATCCTTATAAGCAGTATTTTGAACTCAGCATCTGTTAGGTTGCTTATCTCCATTTCGTTTAGTTCGTTTCCTGGAGTTTTGTTCTGTTCTTTCATTTGGGACATGTTTCTTTGTCTCCTCATTTTGGCTGCCTCCCTGTGTTTGTATTACTTAACGAGAGGTATGGGGCTAGCTGAGACCAGATGCTGCTTGTTTGAAAGAATTTAGAAAACCTGAAGCAGGATCCAAGACAGGCCAATCCTATGGTTAAGCAACTGGCAACAGCTTGGGTGGGCCTGAAAGTTGGGTGGGCCTGAAAGTTGGGTGGGGTGGGGCGGGGCCTCAGGGAATCACCAGGGCGGGGCTACCAGTGTGAGCCAGGTTGCTCTAGTCCCAGATATGACAGCTGTCTGCCGCCCCAGTGAAGGGCTCATCAAAGGAACAAAGGCCTCTGACAGCACGTTTGTCCCGGAGAAAGCCCCCTCTCCAGCCCTCGCTCCAGTGCCAAACAGCTCAGTTCTTCCCTGTTTGTCTCTGGTGCCCCTCAAGCTGCCTCCCCTCCGAGCTTAGAGGGAGAGAGTCCGATAAGTCCGTGCGCGGGCCCTTTAAGGAGCTGCCTGGGGCTCAAGCCGCCTCAGCCTCCCTGAGCCTCAGTTCCTGCTGGTTTTTCCAGCCAGAAGTTATGGGGATTCTCTTCCTGGCACTGGAACCCTGAGTGGGGTGTCTGGTGTGGGATGGGGACCCCTCAGTCCTCAGGGAAGACCTTCTCAGTTAAGGTATCCTCCTGATTTTTATCGGCCACAGGTGGGCAAGTCTCGATGTGGCTGCTGCTTTAATTCCGTAGTTGTAGGACTTCAATTCAGCTTGATTTCAGGCGGTTTTGAATGAGGGTTGTTCTGTAGTTTAGTAGTAACTTTGATGTGGTTGTGGGAGGACGCGATACCGCATTTACCTATGCCGCCATCTTGACCGGAAGTCCTGAGTCCCTGTATTCCTTTAGGAAAACAACTCCGGGGTCTTCAACAAGTCCTGTGTCATCAGCTACACAAGCTACAGGAATGTCTTCCCCATCTGGACCCTCGGCCGCTTCTCCCGCCTGTACCCAGAAAGTGCCCTTGCTGGTCATCCTTGAGAAGGGGCCTACGTGTGCCTGGCCAGTGGGTGGCAGGCACAGGGATTCCGTGGGGCTGCTCACCGAGGTTGGAGCATCTCGCCGGGACATGGGTACCCCTGTAGCCCCCTCCTCACTGCCTCATTCACAACTTCTGGAGTGAGTCCTGGGACCAGGCCTACCTAGGGGCATGGTGCATGGCCATGTGTGGTCATGGAGCTTGGAGGGCTTTCTTGACCAATAATAGTTCTCAGCAGTTGTGCCTTATCTGCCTCCTGCCTGGTGCTGGGCTCATTTCCCAGACAGCTCTTCCTGCATCTTCTGTCTGTTGGACTGAGGAAGGTGACAGCTTCCCCGAACAGCCTGGAGCAGAAGCTGGGCCTGCCTCCACCATGGCCACCCAGGGCTCCATGAGTACCAAGACCAGACACGCCAACCCTGCCGCAGATTTTGTTCGTCCACGCTGCATCGTGGCCTTCCCCCTGCAGCTGTCGCGGCCCCTGGGCTTGGTCTGGGCTGTCTGGGCTGTCTGGGTTCACCAACTTCTCAGTTTCAGGGAACAAGAGTAGCTGCTTGAAGATAAGCAGGTGCATCTCCAGTTATTTCAAGGGAAAATATTTGTATCAACCTGATTAAAAATCCAGTTCTCTATCCTGGTAAATCATTGAAAAGTCTTGAATTCAAATTATCTTATTTCTAGGTAACAGATTTTGAATATTATGTTGGGAAATTTTCTCTGGAATCACATTAGATTATCTGTGTTCAGCACAATTAAACTTCATACCCTTTCCTTTGAGGAAATGTTTAACTCACAGGGGAAACTTACCTCTAGGAAAATACTTTTTCTTATGAACATAATCACTATTGCTACATCAATTTTATTTAGGCAATAAAAATGTAAGGATCGAGCCAGTCTACTTGGCGTTCTCCTCCCTCCTCCTTCTCGTCTCCCAGCAATTATTTAAGAATCATAGGTTAACCGGTCAGCTTCATTTATTTTTCATCTTCATCTACAATATAAATTATTTATAATTCACTTTGTTTCAAAAAGGAATTGAGTTTAGAGACACGAGGCAAAGGGAAATAAGGGCAGGAGAGTCCGATGGGGTGGGAGGGATGTTAGCATTAGAGATACGTGCCCGTGGGTCTGGTTAATTTGCTGTTGTTGGCCTCCAGGCTCGGTGCTAACTTTCTGGGAGGCAGCGGAGAGGAAGATCCGTGTAAGACAGAACCCCTGTGGCTGAGAAGGTGCACATGCCACTGGTTGTGCTGTTCCTCGTTGGGCCACAGCACAGTGCACCTGGTCACAGCAGAATCCACCAGCACAGAGTCCGCAGGGACAGCTCTGGATGGCTGCGTGATTTACTAGGCACGCTGGCCAGCAGTTCTGGACCTTGGGCTCCTCAGTGATGTGGGACCTTAGTGCCTGGCATTTTCATTTGGTATGTCTGGTGCCATTCAAAGACTCCCTTTCCTCACTCAGGAAGATGAGGGTGAAATGGATAACTTCAGAGTTACTTGTTTTCTTTAGTGAAAATAATTCAAACATTAGTTTCCATATGATGAGAGGGGACAGTGATGCCCCAGGGGGTGTCTAAGACCTATGCTAACACAACTGGAGAACAGCTGGTTTGCATAGCTTCGGGCAGCCTCAGTCACCTAACCCACAGCAAGGTCTTGTATGGGTGTGAGATGCAGTGATCCTGAGACCCCATGTTCCCTGATGCGCCTTCTGGCTCCTGGGGGAAGGCAGAGGAGCAGGGCGGGCCCCTGGCCATTCAGGAATAGGTGAGCACTGAAACACCTGTGGGGGCCAGCAGACTTAAAAACAAAGCAACCTCAGTGACTTGTTTTATAATATAGGGTGAGGCAAAAGTAGATTAATAGCTGTGAGTAGGCAAAACAGTTTATTCTTATATTATTTATTTATTTTATACTTTTTATTGATTTTAGAAAGAGAGGAAGGGAGAGGGAGAGAGAGAAGAAATAGAAACATCGATGAGAGAAAATATCGATTGGCCGCCTCCTGCATGCCCCCTATGGGGGATCAGGCCCACAACCTGGGCATGTGCCCTGACCAGGAATCAAACCAGCGACCTCTTGGTGCATGGGTCAATGCTCAACCATGGAGCCATACCAGCTGGGCTGTATTATTATTTATTAATGTATTATTTTCCATATGAACAACCGCAAACCTACTTTTGCCCTACCCTGTATTGAGTGGTCTAATATATGTGTACTTGGAGTGTCAGAAAAGGGGGACGGAGGAAGGCAGAAAAACTTTCGAAGTAATCATGGCTGAAATTCTTTTAAATATGATGAAATGTATAAGCCCAGAGATCCATGAAGCTCAGCAGACATGTAGCAGAATAATCACACAGACCCTCCCCCAAAACAAAACCAAAAAAGCACTTCATAACCAAATCTATAAAAACCAACAATGACTAAAAGTCTTACAAAACAGACATATCACATATAAGTGAATACAGATAAGGGTGGCCAGCTTCTCATTAGGAAAAATGTAAGCGAGAAGAGAGTAGAATGACATCTTTGAAGAGCTGAAAGGAAAAAAGAACTGGTCATCTTAAATTCCATGTTCAGAGAAAGCAAAAACAAACGAGAGCTGAAGGACTTCTCCAGCAACCATGTCCTGCGAGAGATGTTAAGTTGTTTGGGCTGAAGGAAAGGGGTAACAGTTGGAAACTCGGGTCCTTACCAAAGAATGAAGAGTGCCAGAAATGGTAAGTGGTAAATATGGAAGGCTTTCCCCCCATCATTTAAAATATATATATTTTTAAATTTATTTTTCTTTATTGATCTTTAGAGAGAGAGGAAGGGAGAGGGAGAGAGAGATAGAAACATCAATGAGAGAGAACATTGATTGGTTACCTCCTGCATGCCCCCCGACTGGGGATTTGGCCCACAACCTGGGCATGTGCCCTGACCGGGAATTGAACTGGCGACCTCTTGGTGCATGGGTCGATGCTCAACTACTGAGCCACACCGGCCAGGCTAAAATATTTTCTTTAAAATATTACTAACTTTTAGCCCTGGTTGGTTTGGCTCAGTGGTTGGAGCATTGGCCATGGACCAAAGGGTCACAGGTTCAATTCCAGTCAAGGGCTTGCAGATTCGATCTCCAGCCCTGTCAGGGCTGTGTGGGAAGCAACCGATTGATGTGTCTCTCTCACATTGATGCTTCTCTTCCTCCCTCCTGCCTACTCTCTCTAAAAAAGCAATGGAAAAGTATCTTCAGATGAAGATTAACAACTGTGTGTGTGTGTGTATAAATATCTTTATATATACGTATCTTTATATAAAATTAATGTTTAAAAGCAAAAAAAATAGTGGTGTTTTCAGATATAGAGAAGTAAAAGATATGACACCAACGACAGGAAGGGTGTTAGAGGAGGGTGAATGTGTACTGCTGTGGGTTCTCACCTTGTATGTGAAATGGTACATCACAAAGTGGCATATTATTCAACATAGATTGTGATAAATAAGAAATCTATTGTAAACCCTAGAGTAAATTACTGAAGTAAGAAAGAGGAGGTAAAACAATCCAAAACAAGGCAGAAAAAAGAACAGATGGGACAGAATAAATTTCAATTCAACTCTTATGGACTGAATTGTTTCCCCCAAAATTCATATGTGACTAAATTAGGAGACAGGGCTTTTGAGGAGATAAGATTAAATGAGGCCATAAGGGTGAGGCCCTAATTCTATAGAACTGGTGTCTTCGTAAGAGACACACCAGGAGTGGACATGCACAGAGGAAAGCCACGTGAGGACACAGGGTGCAGGCAGCTGTCTACGTGCCGAGGAGAGAGGCCTCAGGAGAAACGAGCCCTGCTCACACCTGGATCTTGAACATGCAGTTCTTGGAACTTCCAGAACTGAGCCCCACAGTCTTTCTGGTGTTTTGTTATGGCAGCCCTAAAAGATTAGTATACCAACCATTTAAATAATTTTATTTACTATAAAGGGCTAAGCACTTCATTTAAAAGGCAGAGATGGTCATATTGACAATGAAAAAGCATGAAAAACCATCTATGTTGTGCATAAGAAATTTTAAGTATAAAATACAGGATAAAAATAAAAGTTTAGGGAAATATGTAACAAAAATACTAATCATAAGAAAGCAAAAATGCTATTTTTTAATACCAATGTATGAATAGTATCAGAAATAGACCTTTACTAATGATAAGAGCATCAATTCATCAAGAAGATAGAACAATCCTGAACATATATTCACCTAATAACAGCTTCAAAATACATGAAACAAAAACTGGTGGAACTGAAGAGAGAATTAGACAAATAAACAAGGTGGGAGATTTTATCACTCATCTCAGGAATTGTAGACACAAAATTTTCAACCAGCTCGAAGTAACTGGCATGTGTAGAATACTTCACCTAACATTTAAAATAAATTTTTTTTATTGATTTTTAGAGAGAGAGGAAGGGAGAGGGAGAGAGATATAGAAACATCGATGAGAGAGAACATCAATTGGCTGCCTCCTGCATGCCCCCCACTGGGGATCAGGCCCACAACCTGGGCATGTGCCCTGATGGGGAATCAAACTGGCAACCTCTTGGTGCATGGGCTCAACCACTGAGCCACACCAGCCGGGCTCACCCAACATTTTTATCAGGTGTTCATTGGCCAGTCACTAAGATTGGCTATGTGCTGGGTCATGAATCTCAAGGAATTCAAAAGGATTGAAACCATAGAGTGTATTCTCTGACCACATGGAATTAAATTATAAAAAGAGATTTAGGAAATCTCAAATACTTGGAAATGAAACAATACTCTTCTTTTTTTAAAATCCTCATTCGAGTACATTTTTCAATATTTTGGGAGGGAGAGAGGAAGAAAAAAAACATCGACCTGAAAGGGACACATTGAGTGGTTGCCACCCACATGACCCAATCAGGGCCGGGGACAAACTGCAACCTTAGCAGGAACCGAACCCAGGTCTCTCCAGACTGCAGGCCAACGCTCTAACCGCTGAGCCAAACCGGCCAGGGCAACAATACACTTCTTAAATAGCCTATGGTCAATAATGAAGCCCAAGAAAAATGTTAAAATATTTGAAGCTGAATGAAAATAAAAACATATCAAAGTTTGGGATGTAGCTAAATCAGTATTTAGACCTAGGAGACATAGCAACTCTACCTAAAACATAGAAACAATCATAGGGAAGCAGCCATATAAGGAGATAAAGAAACATGTCCCAAATGAAAGAACAGAACAAAACCCCAGGAAAAGAACTAAACAAAATGGAGTTAAGCAATCAATCAGATGCAGAGTTAAAAACACTGGTTATAAGGATGCTCAAGGAACTTGGTGAGACATTCAAGGAACTTAGTAAGATCTTCAAGGAACTTAAGGAGACCTCCAAGGAACTTAGTGAGAACATCAACAACATAAAAAAGGACCAGTCAGAAATGAAGGATGCAATAACTGAAATAAAGAATAATTTACAGGGAATCAATAGTAGAATAGGTAAAGTCAAGAAGCAAACCATCAATTTGGAATATAAGGAAGCAAAAAAAAAAACAAACACTCAATCAGAACAGCAAAAAGAAAAAAATCCAAAAAAAATGAGGATAGTGTAAGGAGTCTCTGGGACAACTTCAAGCATGCCAACATTTGCATCACAGGGGTCCCTGAAGGAGAAGAGAGAGAACAAGAAATTGAAAACCTGTTTGAAACAATAATGGCAGAAAACTTCCCTAACTTGGTGAAGGAAACAGACATACAAATCCAGAAAGCACAGAGAATCCCAAACAAAATGAACCCAAAAAAGGTCCACACCAGAACACATCATCAAAATGCCAAAGGTTCAAGAGAGAATCTTAAAAGCAGCAAGAGAAAAACAGTTTATTACCTACAAGGGAGCTCCCATAAGACTGTCAGCCAATTTCTCAAAAGAAACTTTGCAGGCCAGAAAGGAGTGGCAAGAGGTATTCAAGGTGATCAAAAGCAACGACCTACAACCAAGATTACTCTATCCTGCAAAGCTATCATTTAGAATCAAGGACATATAAAAAAAAAAGTATAAATTTTCCCAGACAAGAAAAACCTAAAGGACTTCATCACCACCAAACCAGTATTATATGAAATGTTGAAGGATCTTCTTGAAGGAGAAAAAGAACAAAAATATGAACAATAAAATGGCAATTAATACATATCTATCAACAATTGAATCTACAAACAAAATGAGAAAGCAGAACAGAAACAGACTCATAGATAACAGGGAACTTTTTATTGCTTGCCAGATGGGTGGGGGCTGGGGCAATGGGTGAAAAAGATGGAGGAATTAAGAAGTACATATTGGTTGTTAGACTGATGAACCTCAGAGGGAAGGAGGGAGGGAGGGCGGGATGAGATAAACCAAAGAACTTCTGTGCATATGTGCATAACCAATGGACACTGACAATAGTGTGGGGAAGGCAGGAGGGGGCGGGATTGGGGAGGAGGGGGTCAATGGGGGAAAAAAGGGGGGAACATCTGTAATATATTAAACAATAAAGATGAGTTAAAAAAAATACATCAGTGCTTAGAGAAATGCTTATAGGCTTATATGCTAGTGCTGTAAATAAAGTTTAAAATTAATGATTTAAGTGTCCCTCTTAAAGATTTAAAACCAAATTAGAAGGAAAGAGATAATAGATAAAAAGAGTAGAAGTCAAATGCTATAAAAACAATAAAGAAGACCTTTAAAACCAAAAGTTGATGCTTTAACAAGAAAACAACCTATACCGGGAAAAAAAACGATGCATCACTCTAGATCCAGCTGTTGAGCTTGTCCTGCTGAGCCTACTGTTCTGGCCTGGTCACCCTGTAGGCCTGCTGACCTGGTGTGGTAACCCCCAGATCTGCTGACCTGGCCTGGTCATTCCCTGGGCCTGCTGACCAATCCCCCAGGCCTGCTGACCTGGTCTTTCATTCTCCAGTCTGATCACCCTCTGAGCTTACTGTCCAGCCTGTCCCACTGAGCTTGTCTCTGGGTCACACTGTTCCCACTTGGCCTGTTTGCCGTACATCCTGCTGCCACAAAGACCCACATTGCTGTTTTTCCACTTTCCCTTTATGGTTTCTGCCTTGGCCGAATCTATTTGTCCTCAGAGGCATAAGGCTGCAGAGGGAATAAGGGAATATCATGAAGCACTCAATGCTGGTATTCCACAACGTAGATAACACGGACATTCCTTCAAAGACCATTGCTATCTCGATGGGCATGAGAAGAAATGAAAAATTTAAATAACCTTCTATCTATTTAAGAAATTGAACTAGAAATTTAAAAACTTTCCTAGAAGAAACTCGAGGGCAGACGGTTTCACTGGTGAATTTTATCCAATATTTAAGAAAGAAATAACCTAACACAAATACCCAGGAAACAGAGAAGGAGGGAACACTTGGCAACTCATTAGGTCAGTGGGACTTCGACAGCAAAACCAGACCAAGAGGTTACAAGAAAAGGAGACACAGGTCAGTTTCCCTTACAACATAGAAAATGCGTAATAAAATATCAGCAAGTTGTATTAAAAGGATGGTGCGTCAGGACCAGAACATTGACAGGCCCACGGCTGAAGGGGCTTTGAGACGCTATTTTTTGGGCTGGGAAAGAAATGGGACTTGAATGCATAGGAGGAGCCTGTGGAGGGGGCCATGGGGCATCTGCTGTGAGTCCTGGAAGCTCCCACACCTTCTTCAGGAGCCACTGCCCTCTGTGTATCTGGGGAAGCGTAGGGGATGTTTGGATTTAGAAGGCCTCCTTCCCACAAAGCCTGACTCAGGCTTGCAGTGCTTGAAGCAACATGTCAGGGATGGGGCCATCTGGGGAACAAAGGCCTTGTTCTGCCTGCAGACATCCCACTTGCCGCTTGCACCCTGAGTGCCTTGATGCTGAGCTGGGGACCCAGCGCTGGGGCTAAAGGGATGGAGGACACGCTGGTTCCTTTTTCGGGCTATGTTCCTTCTCCAGAGGGTCTGCTGTCTTGTGGCTTTGGAAAAGGAGGACCAAGATCTTTGGAGCCAGGAAATAGCACAGAACTTAGCTACCTGATAAGCAGTCATGGGAATCACTTCACGGGGTGGTCCTATTGGGCTGGCTTCACGGAGGTCTGGCTGACTGTGTATAGGCTGAAATCTGGCTCTGGCAGGACTCCGTGAGCCACAGGTCTGCCTGTGATTGGTCCAGACGGCCCCTGTGCTCTGGTGGGGGGTGTTCAGTTAGGTCCAGTAATGGTCAGTATCCACACTCAGCACCGTCTGTGTGGGGACAGAGATATCTGCCTGGGCCCTGTCCGCCAGGGCAGTGTGGTCAGCAGGCAGCCTCCAACTGCCAGTCCTTTGGAGCTGCTGGAACTTCTGAGGCTGGGGCCATCGTGGGGCTCCAAGCTGGGCTCCCTCTGTCCTCACTGCCCCTTCCTCCCTCAAGTTTGTGTCCCAGGGGCGCCAGACACCTGCCCAGGTTTGGGCTGACCGGCCAGCCTCTGAGAGCCTGGCTGGGCCTGGAGTCGGAAAGCCACTGAGCCCAGGTTCAGGGTGGGGGTGGGGGGTAATGAGGGTGGCTCCACCAGTCACTCCGACTGAAGGCGGTGACCCCACTGGGCCTTTGGACCCCCATGGTGTGAATGGCCTGAACTCCCTTAGCCTAATATTCTGGCGGCTCCTAGATGGTGCCAGAATCATCCAGTCTCAGGCTTAGCCCTTGCGTGCCCTTTACGGGGCTGGCCTTCCCATGAGTGCCTCAGGCCCCCCGCCCTCGTCCTTCCCTGTTGTGAGGTGTCTGCTGTGCCCCCGGTCTGGGCACCGCCTGGAAGTCTGTGGGTGAGGGCGGGCAGGGCACCGCCTCTTTAAGGCGACATCACAAGGCTGTGGAAGGTGGGGCAGTCGTGGAACTCCCGGTCTGGCTGTTTCTGGGGCGTCCGTGGCTCTGGATTTCCATCTCCATGGGGCCACAGGCCCACACGTGAGCAAGAAGTCATGGCCATGGCTGAAGGGAACGAGCTGATGAACAGGCTCATGAGCGAGAACGCTGACCTGAAGAAGCAGGTCCGGCTCCTCAAGGAGAACCAGATGTTGAAGCGCCTGCTCAACGAGAGCTGCCAGGACAGCTGCGGCCGCGGCGGCCGGGACTTCCTGTTCCCCAAGGCCCCCGCCTACCCCGAGGACTGCTCCCCCGGGACTGCAGGTGAGGCCCAGGGTGGCCTCGGAGTGGGGGCTGCTCCTGCAGGTGGTCCAGGCTTCCTCTCCTGGTCCCTCATTCTGCTGTGCGTCCTCAGATGAGGCCCTTCTCCTCTCTGAGCCTGTAAGTCCACGCCTAGAAAATGGGTGTGGTGGCTTAGCCACTGAGCTGGTCAGTGTATCAGTCAGTGGCAACCACACAAGCACTGCCACTGTGGCTTAAAACAGGATGTGTGTGACCTCAGGACCTCCAGGACCTCTGGGGTTAGCCCAGCCAGTCCGAGCATTTTGCTCTGCTCCATGCATCCCTCTCCTGGGGCCAACAGGCTTGCCTGGGCTTGGGTGTCACATGGCAAGGGCGGGTGTGCCAACCACCCCAGCTTGGAGCCTCTGCTGTGTCTCCTCTGCTCACACAGCATCGACCAAAGGAGTGCTGTGGTGGAGCCCAGCACCCAGGGCAGGAAGTGACCACTCACGGAGGGAGCATCTGGTGGGGTGGGTGCAAATCCCTGGGAGAAAGTGAGCTCGGCACTATAATCAGCTTACCACATAGCATCCCCTCCAATAGTCTATGGCTTAAAAAAAAAAAAAAAAGGCTTTGATTATTTGCTGCAAAAGCAGTTGGTTCGGATTTAAAATTTCTGTGATAAAATTCCCTCTGAAACATGGAAAGTATGATTTAGGGAGTGGTTGGTGGGTATGAGCGGCTTGGATGTGGACCAAGGACAAGACCCTGTGACCAAGTGAGCCCTTAGAAATGGGCCCTCTCCCCGTGCACGGACTTATTGGACTCACTCCCCCTAAGCTTGGAGGGGAGGCAGCTTGAGGGGCACCAGAGACACACAGGGAAGAACTGAGCTGTTTGACATTGGAGGGAGGGCTTGAGAGGGGGCTTTCTCCAGGACAAACGTGCTGCCAGAGGCCTTTGTTCCTTTGGTGAGCCCTTCCCTGGGGTGGCAGACAGCTGCCCCCGCCATATCTGGGACTCCAGCAACCTGGCTCATACTGGTTGCCCTGCTCTGGTGACTCCCTGAGGCCCCGCCCCACCCCGCCCCACCCAACTTTCAGGCCTACCCAAGCTGTTGCCAGTTGCTTAACCATAGGATTGGCCTGTCTTGGATCCTGCTTCAGGTTTTTCTAAATTCTTTCAAACAAGCAGCATCTGGTCTCAGCTAGCCCTATACCTCTCGTTAAGTAATACAAACACAGGGAGGCAGCCAAAATGAGGAGACAAAGAAACATGTCCCAAATGAAAGAACAGAACAAAACTCCAGGAAAAGAACTAAACGAAATGGAGATAAACAACCTAACAGATGCTGAGTTCAAAATACTGCTTATAAGGATGATCAATGGACTTTGTGAGAACCTCAGCGAACTTAGTGAGGGCCTCAAGAGCATAAAAAAGGACCAGTCAAAAATGAAGGAGGCACTAACTGAAATAAAGAATAATTTACATAGATTCAATAGTGAGTAGGTAAAGCCAAGAAGCAAACCATCGATTTGGAATAGAAGGAAGCAAAAAACACCCAATCAGAAAAACAAAAAGAAAAAAACAATCCAAAAAAATGAGGATAGTGTAAGGAGCCTCTGGGACAACTTCAAGCGTGCCAACATTCGCATCTTGGGGGTGCCAGAAGGAGAAGAGAGAGAACAAGAAATCGAAAACCTATTTGAAACAATAATGGCAGAAAACTTCCCTAACTTCGTGAAGGAAACAGAATACAAATCCAGGAAGCACAGACAGTCCCAAACAAGATGAACTCCAAGAGACCCACACCAAGACACATTATCATCAAAATGCAAAAGGTTCAAGACAAAGAGAGACTCTTAAAAACAGCAAGAGAAAAGCAGTTAGTGCCCTGGCCAGTTTGGCTCAGCGGTTAGAGCGTCGGCCTGCGGTCCGGAGAGACCCGGGTTCGGTTCCCGCTAAGGGCACATACTTCGGTTGCAGTTTGTCCCTGGCCCTGGTTGGTCGTGCGGGTGGCAGCACAAAAAATGGAAAAATATCCTCAGGTGAGGATAAAAAAAAAAAAAAAAAAAGAAAAGCAGTTAGTTACCTACAAGGGAGTTCCCATAAGACTGTCAGCTGATTTCTCAAAAGAAACTTTGCAGGCCAGAGAGAAGTGGCAAGAAATATTCAGAGTGATGAAGAGCAAGAACCTACAACCAAGATTACTCTATCCTGCAAAGCTGTCATTTAGAATCAATGGCCATATAAAGACTTTCCCAGACAAGAAAAAGTTAAAGGAGTTCATCACCACCAAACCGTTATTATATGAAATGTTGAAGGGTCTTTTTGAAGAAGAAGATAAAATATATGAACAAACAAAATGTCAATGAATACGTATCTATCGACAATGGAATCTACAAACAAAATGAACAGGTAGAACAGAAACATTCTCATAGATATAGAGAACATTTTGTTGGTTGCCAGATGGGAAGGGGATTGGAGGAATGGGTGAAAAAGATAAAGGGATTAAGAAGAACAAATTGGTTGCTAGACTGACAAACCTCAAAGAGAGGAGAGTTGGGGGGTGGGAAGAAATAAACCAAAGAACTTATATGCATAACCAATGGACACAGACAACAGTGTGGGAAAAGGCAGAAGGGGGGCAGGAGTGGGGAGGAGGGGGTCCATGGGGGAAAAATGAGGAACATCTGTAATACATTCAACAATAAAGATTATTAAAAAAAAAGCATTTAACATAAAAAAAGAAAAAGAAAAGAAATGGGCCCTCTCAACGGCCTGGCCAGGTTGGGAGAGGACTCACCCAGCCTGCTCCATTGCCGTGCTGGATCAGACAGCCTGGCCGGTGCCCTTTGGACCTGGTTTCACAGGATGAGCCCTTCCACCCGTTGTTTCCAAAGCTGCTGCCAGTCCCCCAGCAGGATGCTCTAGGGACTGATGGCTGGGCCCTGTATCGGGTGTGGTCACTTCCTGGACTCCACCTGAATGTCTGCCACCTCCCCTGAGCAAGCTCAGCACATGTGAAAGGCGGCCACCTCCTGATTGTGGTGGCTGCACGGAGCTCATGGGCCCAAAGCCCTTGGGTACAAGGGTCTTTCATGGCATTTGGACACTTTAGAGCCTCAAAGGGAGTCTTAAAGAGGGAGTTCAGACAAGTATGGGGTCCTCAGGGATGGTGGGAAGAGAGTGATGCGCCAGGAGGGCCAGCTGGAGAAACCCTGAGCCCACAGGACCGAGCCAGCTGCAGCTCCATGTTCTGAGCTCCCACCAGTGGCCAAGGCACACACTTGTCACTGGTGCTTGCTGAGGAGGGACTGGCCTCACAGTGCCATGTCCTGGGTGTGATGACAACCTGCTAGGAGTCAATGGTGCCTTCTCAGGTCACTAGGAACACCTGGTGTGCAGTGGCTGCCAAGTCATGTGCCTCATGCTGTTTCGTTGTCCTTCACCCTAAGAATTGAATCAGGCCAACCCTCAGGGCTCAGGCCAACCGTGTGGTCAACAGTGGCAGGCACCCTGGGGCTGTCCCTCGCCCCCTGCCTTGCCTGGTCTGAGGGTGGGCTTTGGGAGAGTGCAAACTCTCACTCAGGCTGGGCTGTTCCCTTGTCAGCATCTCAGAGCAGAGTCTCCCAGATCACAGGCAGCACCCCTGCCCCTGGGCAAGTGCCGATCTTGCTAGACGTCAGCCTTAGGAGGAGCCCCAGCCCCTGGTCAGCTGAGTTCACCAAGGTTCCATAGAGAGGCCTTGGAGCCCAGCGCAGGGCGTGGGCCAAGTCATCATGGGCCCCTCCATCCTCAGGGAAGGGCCATCCTCAGGGAGGCCGAGACTCTGGCTGCTGAGCCCGGGTGTGGCTGGACCCTGGGTTTCTGCAGGAGCAGCTGGGCCCTGGGGCTGGAGCGTCAGCAGCACTGTCAGACAGGGAACCTCACAACAGTGGCTCACACGTCCCACAGTCCCTCAGCCTCTGCTTTCAAGAAAGGATGAGCTTTAAAACCTGTTTTTCTTATTCAACAACATAAATACCCAAGAGGACATAACATTGAAAGCTGTGCCCGTGCTCCTGGCCCCACTCCCGAAGGCAGCCTCTGTCAGTGTTTGCTCGGAAGTTGTTGATGTGTCTATTTTGGCATTTTTTTGCTTTCACGATTTTCCTGCAACCCGTCATCTCACTACCATCGCCCGCTGGTCTCTTCTTTAGCTCTAAATGCACTTAATGCTGGAGAGCAGACTGTTGCATGTGGAGTTCACATGTCCCTCAGCCTGAAGCCACGACAGGCAGCACCCTTCCAGCAGTGACCACAGACAGCCTGACGTGCACCTCTGTGACCGGTCGCAGGGGTGACTGCCTGGCAAATCTTTGGGTCAAAGGCCACGAGCGATTGAAATGTTGAAATAGACACTGACAAGTGCTCCCCAGAAGGTCGGGGGCTCTGCACTCTGCAGACGGAGGAGCAGGTGCCTGCCTCCCGGCGCCTTCCCATCACCCAGCGGTGTGAAGCAGCCACGCCCGCTCCTGGGAAGGCTGTGAACGGCTCCCGCAGGGCTCCCGTGGGGCTGTTCCCTTCCCTTGGGTTTCAAGCACAAAGGTGCACATTTTCAAAGGGACCAGTGAGGGTGGCAGGTCCCCTCAGCCCCACCCCTCAACCCCCTCCTTAGTTCTCAGGGGTCCTTCGCTGTTCACTCAATTCCTCTTTGTTCTTCTGGGTAGAGATGATTTTTAGCAGCTTTGAGTATTCTCTATGTGCAGTCCTCTGCTACTTTCCCTTTCACATACTGACATGGTTATTTCTGTGTTGTTATATTTTTAAATGACTGTGTGATATTAAAAAATCAGATGAACTACAATCTAACGAACCCTTCTCCTCACGTTTGAAATTATACTTCTTTCTTATCCTAAGATAAATAACACAGCAAAATACTTTTATATGTAGGGTTGTTTCCTTAGGGTATGTTTTCCTAAAGTAGAGTCACCAGCTCAGAAGGCATGGGTCATTTTTTCCCCACGTTACTTCTTTTTCTCACATTTTTAAAATTTTTT